CTTTTTGTGTATCAGTGGGATAGCGCTGCTATCGACGTCTATCGCCGTTTCGATCAGTATCCGCAATTTTTCCCTAACTTTTATACATATTATGTATGTCTTCACTCGTCCTCTCAACCTCACAAACACTGATGCACTCTACGCCGTGAATGCTTTTTATCACATTGACAAGAGACTTGTTTTAATGCCCCCCCCCCGCTTTCTCTCTTTTTCCTCCCGTTTTCTCTCATTTCCTAGTAAAGTGATTGAGCACTATTGTATCGTACAGTGTGCTTTCAAACAATTCCACGTTATAATTTTCCCCTGTGACCAATAAAGCTTACGAAGAGGAAGACGCACGCATTATCGCTGATTAAAGATGCAACGGCCTCTGCTGTTTACATACACACAGAGAGATGGAACAGCAAAGTGCAAATTGTACCATCGCTTGGCCTCTTAACGGAATGATATTCTATCTGTTTCTCGACTCTCATTGGTTCGCGCCATTTGCTTCTGCGCGCCGTGTGAATGTGTTTGTGTGCGTGCGTGCGCACCCACTGGCGCTGACGCATCGTTGCGGTGGGACTAACGCAGTGTACACGCCCGGGAACGCGACCGTCGGAGTTGCGTCACTGGGAGAGGGTGAAGTTCCACAAACTTTTCTGAATGATTACAGGCCTGGTGCAGGGCCAACTGCCTACCAGAGTAATGAACACGTACAAAATCGTTGCTCGCCTTCGAATACAGGGATCATTTTAAAACACCAGCTAGGGCGGTTTGCCCAGTCCCCCCAGGGGAGTCTGTTTTAAATCTTAAAAGGATCTCTTTGACGATATTAGTCCTTTCAGCGGATAGTAGTGCAATGAAAGATTTTTAGTTGCCAGTTATCATAGAAGGGTAAGGGGACCGTATCACACTTATGACGCAGATTTGGGTAAGAAAACCATGTACAACATAGATTGTCAATAGCAATATTCACTTTCTAGTAAGCAACTTCCCTTCCCGAAATGTATTTTTATTCATCCACCTTGATCTGTGGCAGGAATTACTGCCGCTGCTTCAAAAACTAGCAAAGCATCCCCCTTTATGGTGGAGTTTAATCGACAACATTCCTCACCTTCCATCGATCCAATCAGCTGACCACTGTCTTGACATCAGGAAAAGTGGAATCCAAACCTTCCCAAAATGTGCACAAATGGGAATGGCAGGTATTCCCTCAAAACCTTGGTAGGCTTTTGGCGTGAAATGCGAGAACGCGAAGAGGTACGTTTCTCTAAAACACTTGTCCAATAACAAGGTTGAACGAGCTATCTTTCTGGACAAATGTGCGAAAGGACAGTTGCTAATTCAAAGGATGGCGTTTTTAGAGGAGGCTTTTTTAAAACCTGTAGGTCTTTCTCTCTTCTGTATTACAAAACCTACTCTTCTTTCGAATAACATGTGGTTAGTTCGTGCATATTTCAGTCTTGATAACATTCGCTCGCAATGAGGTAGAATAACGTTTAAAATTTGCGATTTTTGGTAGAAAAAAATGTGACGAGAGCTTAAGTACTAGCTTTGAGGAACTGCCATTTTCAAAATCTGCCCCTTACTTTGATGATTCATGCCAATACATTGCTCATTTCGTTTTTTTCCAAAACACCGTACACGAATCTCATGAAAGAAACTCCCATTGGTAGATACCCACAATTTTGACAGTGAAATCTCTGTGAGAGTAGCTATCAATCGTGTTTTGCTCTTATGTATTTGGGTTTAACGATTGGAGGCATCGTTTTGGCCGAAACTGATAGTTCCTATTCATTCTAGAATATAAATGTGAATGATCACTGATCGGTATAGAACACTCACCTGCATTGATATTGAGAATCTTGTTTTATTCACTTATTCATTGAGCAAAAGCGCCAAAATTTTGCTAGCCCACTTTTTCTCTAGATTTCCGTGTACCATCCCCTATTGGCTTTTTTTTCCTAGTCTGTTACCTTTACAGGATCATGTTCCATGGTGTTTTTCAACTTGATCTTTCGCTCCACGAGGACGAACTTCGTGACAGTCATGTGACATTAAAACGGTACTTATATTGTGTGAACTCCAAAATCAACCATTATGAGTAAACTGGGCATTTACTTGTGTCATCAGACAGTTGAGTGCAGTTTTATAACCTTTACACACCGTAAAGTAGATTTGAATATTAAGTGTCGTTTTTAAATGGCTCTTCTTAAAGAAGAGGTATTCAGCAATCGGCAATTATTTTAGCTAATTATATTTTTTCCGAGCATTATCCACAACTGTGGTATTTTCATTGACTCAGTACCATTGTCACTTCCACGTTCACCATATGGTTTTTATTAACAAAAAGTAGGAATTGGATCTTTTTACCGGTACATCTGCTCCCGCTCACCACTAGTTTTTAATAAAAATGAATTAAGAAGCACACGTGATATTAGGTACTAGCACAAGAAGTGAAGATTGGCCTATTATGGCTGCATGTTTGACACTTGAGAGGCATGTGCGCCATTCAAGAAACCCTGGTACCCAAAAATGACTTTTTCCAAATGCTGGAGAATGTGCTATTAGCGTGGTAATTTTAGGTTTAAGACAGAAGCCATGAATGTGAGAACCTCTTCTCTTTAATCAGCTTAAGTAAAGGGCGAGCCAAACCGCGATAATAGTTACGCAGTTCGTGGGTAAAATAATACTTAATTCTAGACTATGCTCCATAACAAGAGCATTCTGTGTGGCGATTGTTTCAGTTTGGTTTAATCTCTTATTGCCATTTCATTGCTCAGCTATTCTTGTGGGGTTTTCCCACATTTCATGTATCATCAAGTTTTTTTTCCCTGCAAATGCGCATTTGAGGCTTTACAAATCGGTATACACAATAACTAGGATTGTTCATTATTTCAGTGTTAGTAGAGTCCAATATCCATTGTGGGAACCGTAACGTGAGATATTCGTCAGTCTTATATAATCTGACACATGATTGCATCCTGGTGTGAAAAATATGCAGTCACTTTTTAAACACAACTCACGGACGATTGTTTTATGCATCCGTATTCTTTAGTAGATTCCAATCTCAGGACCTCGAGAACATCATCTACACTTCAATGATAGATTGGGCCTGCTGTGTCCATCTCCTGTTGCGGAAAGAGTTCGTGTGAACCATAGTCGTGAACGTCCATCCGTTATAATCGCGGTCGATCTTGACGAAAGTCTCATCTACGGTCCCATGAAACTCTCTGAGGGTGTTACAATCGTTGCTAGCACTATGGTGAAACCTGTTGCTAGGTCCATCTTTCAAGTGACTAGGTAGGCTGATCTAAGACCACCGTAGTTAAGCTCCTAGGTTTCCTAAAGAGGTATTATATACGTGGATACAGTGGGGTTGATTTCGTAGACTCTGGTCTCAAAATATCGCGAGAGAAGAGACCAAGTAGGATGACATGAAGAAGTTTACTGACTGATGTTAAGTATGCATTTCTTGCAGTCGTGAAGCCTGTCCCTCGGAATGCAAGGTCACGTATGAGACACCGGTGCAATTTATGCTGGCTGATGAAGGTCTCTCCAATACCCCCTTGTACATGGCCAGCGATACCGTCACTTCAATTGGAGCTACGAATTCCAAATCAGGTCAGAGGCGAGTCTTCATGCATGCGGACAAGCAGGACTACAATACCCTATGGAAGTTTCAACATGTTGATCCGCGAGTACGACTCGAATTTGAGGGACTCCCCGTTCCTGTAAGCACTCACTTCTAATCAGCTATTAGGATAATCGAATCGGCGACTCACTTTTCCCCGTGATTTTTATTTCTCTCGAGACATGTGATAATACATCACTTTATCGCATTACCTTTGAGATACGGTATCTAGAAAGCACGATTGAAAATTGAGAAATGTGGAAGGCATATTGGATGCTGAAATTGGGCCCCACTGATATGCACCTTTAGGATTTAATAAAAAACGATGGTTATATTAAAGCTTGATTGGCATTTGAGTCGCCCATTTATTTTTCATTTCACTAAACCATTCCAGACTCAATGTGCTGGAGTGACGCCACTTTCCTGCATATATTAAATTCTTCACCACCCTTGAGTTGACATAAAATACGTTTATAATTTTGCTTTTCTTTTTTATTGTTATTTCACCAAAGCAGTAGAAACCTACATCGCGAGTACTTTCCACACATACTAGCTCATTTCTTTGAATGAAGAAGGCTATATGCTCAGCCTTGCCCGCTTTTCCAAATAACTTTTAGCTACGTCTCTCATGTGATTTGGATGGGTGAAGTACAGTAACCGTTGTCTATCTATGAGTATAACTAACCTTTTTTTAAACAGCAACAGTTTTATCAACTCTCTCCTTACACTTTAGGTTAATACGCGCGTCATTTTGAGGCATTGCAAAACCAACTCAGCACTTGCCATCGAACACAGCACAACGAGGTTATTTGTGACGCCTTTTTATCTTGGTTGGTTGACTGTGGATTTAGAGGTAACTCCATGTGGGTAGTTAATTGACAAACCATTGATACCGCTTGTCGAGGCAATGGTGATGCGCCACTAGAGGCGTACCTTTTAAAGTTATGGCGCCATTTCAAAAAGTAAAATGAAAAAACAATTAAAAACTGAGTTAAGATACGACCACGGACTAAGTGCAAATTTATACGCTTTAGCAGAATCCCTATAAATCACTTGTGAAACGTGCAAAATTCAAATATCCGTGGTGTCTTCTGAATGTTAAAGGCCGATCAACAATTATCAATGCACCCTGACGAATTATTTTTTGAATTAGAGATAGAAATTTTATATTTTGTTTCTTTTCGGTTTCTCGGTTTTAATGCCAGGACTTTACATTTAAGTGGATTCTTTGGACGTGAATATGAAGTGAGTACTTGCAATCATCTGGATGGCCACTGGACAGAAAATGATACAAACCAAATATGCGCTTGCGTTGATTTTGAAAATTGGGCAAGTGATGCAGAAGAATCTGTGGAAATCACACCTGGGTGCTCAAACAGACGCAGGTGTCCATCGTTTTCGAATCCCTGAAAGTGTTTAATAGTGTGAAACTGAACATATCTTAGACAAAATCGCCAAGTGTTTTTGCGCAAGTGTCAGATATGCAGGAATGAAGTAGTGACGGTGGTATTTTGAGATCACATTAAGTAGATAAGTCACAGAAGATGAGTTTGATTCCCGGAGAACTTTTGCCCTTATTAGTTACTAAATTATGGGGTGACACTATTTTTGTTCAAACACATGGGTCTACTGGATACAGTTCCCACATCGCATTGTGCAATGAGGATGTCAGGCTTCTGCACATTTTGACTAGGCAATGCTTGTGTTTACTAGCCAAAGGGATAGCTTATGCGGTATCCATTGCAGCAATATTAGCAAGAACACTCAAAATCAAGTAAAGCAACTTTGTAGTTTTTATTAGATTGCGGCTTCTGTCATAGCATCTAGAAGCCAATATGTTGCACTTGTAAAGCATCAACTGCAATCCGCTGTAAACTACGAAACCTTCTTGTTCTACGTAGCTTCAAGGCAAATTGAAACTACAAGCTTAAAACGCACTTTTAAATAAACTGTTGTACTGACTCTAAATTTTATAGCCCAAAACATTGAATTAGCCTGTGCATTGGAAAAGGGTAGCTTTTGTATAAATTAAGGCCAGGTGTCGTTAAAGGAAATTAGGTAAGTCATTTTTGGAAGCGGGCTGATTAAATGTTGCGTCGTGTTTTGTTTTGAAGTGCGCGTACGCTGAAGTCCTTTTTATATATCTCGAAGAGTATATCACTTGCTTGGATCGCAACATTTTGTGACACCATGTCTGTGTTCATTATGGAAAGCTATAATTCAACCAAATATATTACATTTTCATTGTACGCTGTCTTATGACCACTGTGTATTGCGTTTCCTCGAATTCACGGGCATCATTTTGCTCCAGTCCATACATATATTTTGTTCGGTACTTTTACCCTTGTGGGCGTTACCCGGTTCTTTTGTTGCTTTTGAAATCAGTTCTTGTTTAGCTTTTAGGCAATGTCGGGGGCTCCTTCTGACCCTTTCATATGTGTGGCCCTCCCTTTGGCATTAGGGCTTTGTCTGCGTTCATTGGGCATTCTGCAGCCCTATTCTGGCATGTCTTCCCCACCCATGTTTGGTGACTATGAGGCTCAACGGCACTGGATGGAAATAACTGTCAACCTCCCCATTTCTGAGTGGTATGTTAACACCTCATCCAATGATCTACAATACTGGGGTTTGGATTACCCCCCAGTCACCGCCTACCACAGCTACATCCTTGGTCAAGTTTCAAAATTGATTGATCCAGCTTGGACTGAATTGTTTATTTCACGCGGTCTTGAAACCCCAGAACACAAAAGATTTATGCGGCTAACAGTTATTGTGTCGGATTGCCTATCGTACATGCTCGCAGCGCTTTTTTATTGTGCCATTACGCTGAAACGTTTGAAGAAAGACGCTGAGCTCTCGGGTTTTTCAGTTGCTCTATCAATGATGTCCTTCCCAGGACTAATCCTTTTGGACCATGGTCACTTTCAATATAATTGTGTTAGTCTAGGCCTATTTGTGATGAGCCTAGTATTTTTCTCAGAGGATCTCGATGTAATCGGTAGTGTGGTTTTTTGCCTAGCATTCTTGTACAAACAAATGGAACTCTACCACGCTCTTCCTGTATTTTTTTTTCTTTTATCAAAGTGCTTTTCTCATTCATTTGCTGTCGGCTTTAAACGTGTAGCAATTTTGGCAGCAACAGTATTCACAACCTTTCTTCTTGTCTTCCTACCATTTCTCACTTCCCTCGATCAACTGAAACACGTCGGGTTGCGCGTGTTTCCTGTAGATCGGGGTCTTTTTGAGGATAAGGTGGCAAATTTCTGGTGCATCTCTTCAGTCCTCATAAAGTGGAGACAGATTTTTACCGCAAATGTGGCTTTGTACATCTGTTGCCTTGTCACTCTCCTCACTTCTTTACCCGCGTGTTTGAGCCTGTTCCGGAGACCAAGTATTTCTCGATTCATTCTGACTGAGGCCATCGTGTCTCTCTCCTTTTTCCTCTTCTCCTATCAAGTGCATGAAAAATCAGTACTCCTGGTTGCCATTCCCGTGCTTTGTCTTCTCCCAATATTTCCTTTATCGTCCTACTATTTTCTGTTCGTGTCAACGCTCAGTATGTGGCCTTTATTCTACAAGGATAGACTCTGTTATGTCTGCGTTGCTTTAGTGATAATATTCTATGCAGTTGTCTCCATTTGCCTTTCCACGGATTCAACTGGGAAGCACAGAGTCTCTCTTGCTCGATTCTGGCCCCTCAGCATATCCCTAATAGGTTATGCTATTATTTTTGCACTGCAATTCTTTGTTCAGCCTCCAGTAAAGTATCCGTTCCTCTTCCAACTCTTCGTAAATGCTTACAGTTTTTTCCACTTTTCTGGTTTTTATGTATTTTGGAGTAGTCAGCTTGTTTCTCTAGAATAATGTAATATTTTAACCTTTTTTTGAAGAAACAATACCAACTTAATTATTCCGTTTTTCTTCTGTGGTTTACGCACGGTGCTTCGTTTCCAAGACCAGGTTTGTGTTGTCCTGCTTCTTTAATAATCTGTGACGTGTAGTGTACCCGTATTGTTTGAGGACTCGATATTAGCATTGTGGGCCCCTGAGCGCGAGGCTGTTGTAGTGCGTGTTAGTCGCAGAGTCTTGCTAAGTGGGGGAACCCAAATTGCGTTTCGGAGTGTGAGGCATGGGGTGACGACGTTCTACGCGTAGGTGTTATGTTCACGATTTCGATTGGAAGCGCGTCAGACGGTAGCGCTGAGATGGCCTGCAATGGGCTTAGGCGTGATCAGCTGGAATATGCACGCGTGATCCCTATCACGTATCAATGGCTGGGGTAGAAATTGAGAGTTGGGCGTGGGGTTCAACAGACGACAAAATGAAGTGTTCACAGTGCCCATTATCTGCTGAAAATATTTGAGCTCAGCATAGTTTACCGATTTTCAAACGTAGGTATGGTGGAATTATTTTATTTGCATTTTACGCTATTTTGATATTGGACTATGTGGTTGTCAGGCCTTTCTCTAAGGTTTATATTTTAAATGACCTGAAAATATATCTCTTCTACTTGCTCTCATGACAATCCTGTATAAAAAAAGGCACAAAGTAAGCAAGCTTCTCAGAAATATCCTTTAAAGTAGAGGTTGTAATGAAATTTTCAGTTCCTTCATATGCATGAAGGAGGGGCCTGTATTTGCCTTTAAATGAAAAATGAAAATGTGCACTACATCTACCAACATTACTTAACAGAAGCAGAGTATAGTGTGTTCCCCTGACTTTCTCTTAATTAACGCTATCATTTCCTCCAAGGGCGCTCTGTATTTAGGTTTTTCAATACGGCTTCAGCCTAAGGTGTTGCCTTTTACGCAGGCGTCTGGTTGTGCATGCAAAGTACATCTTATCGTTATTTCAGAAAACGATTGTTTGGATGGAGAGACTGATTAGAGGGTGTTTTTATGGGAGTGTTTTTGGTGATGTCTGCGGCGCGCCATTCGAGTTGGGATCTGGCATACCCCTGAGTCGGATTCTTGATTTTTTCAATGGAAGGATTACTGGAGGTAGTCTGTAAATTCTTTAATATTGAATTCCCTAGTTGTAACTTTTAAGCTGTACCTTACACCATTGTTTTTAGAGAAGAATGACACTCTTCGTTACACCGATGATACAGAAATGGCATTGTGCGTCTGCGATTCGTTGAAACGGGTGAACGGTTTCGATGCAATTGATATGGCTCGGACGTAGGATACTTCCTATTTAATGTCCACAGGTTTTCTAATGCCTTTGATGCCTCTCCAAGCTGTCGGCTTTATGGACGTTCCATTAGATCCTTATTTGATCGAATGAAATCGTCGAATTTTGCTGACCCATTTAAAAATTCCAGTCAACAATTCAATGGTAGTGGGTCCTACGGCAATGGCGGAGGCATGCGTATAACCCCCATTCCATTGTATGGCCTGGAACTTGATACTAAAGATTTTAATGTAAGTGAAGGAAATAATTTATCATTTTTAGCTGATGTAACCATTTGTTTTCATTACTTTTACGTAAATTAATGAGTGAATGCCATCGACTATAGTAATCGTAAATCCATAGAAGGATTCTGCTGTTAATGCCGCTAAATATCATAAGCAAAATTATGGTCCTCCTTCAGCTTGGCTTCACTTGAATACTTTAGTAGTCCATACAAATGATGTTAAAAAGAAAACAGGAGCTATAATACCTGTTGGAATTTCGCAATTTATTACAGATGTTTTAACTAGTAGTGAACTGACTTCTGCGAAAATGACCCATAAAATGGGGTTCAAATACACCAAGATTTCAGGACCCAACTGCACTGATGTATCCTTTTCGAAAGGTTTAGCCTCTAGATGCACAAAATACAATCACCACCATTCCTCCCAGTTTTATTTTCAGAATACCCATTCCACGTGATCTTGTTATTTTCACGAAAAGGTGATATCAAATGGAGTACCATTATCGGGGGAAGGTAGAGTATAAGGACGTATTTATCACAGATTCCTGGTATGCAGAACTTCTCACAGGAAAGTTTTGTGGTGTACGTTATGCTGTGTTGACTTCCTTGCAGAAATGGCGTCGAGAATTTCTCTCCACTTATTTACCAGTCCCGGATCTTTCTCAAGAATGGTTTTTACTCCTTCAAGTTTTGTCTTATTGAGTAGGTGTATCCCAGCATCAAGCGTTGCTTCTATCGCGGCTTTCCCATTTGATGAAGGTGCGAAAGTTTTTTCGTGGCTCACCTTGGACAGTACTAAAATCTGTATACAATTGAGTTAGCAGTAAAGAGTATTTCGAAGATGGAATAGCACATGCGTTTTACAAATCCTTACATCTTAAAGAGGCGTTGGATCGAGCACTACCGGAAACCGTTGAGACTTCTGGGCCGTCTGACATCCAGATTATTCTGATCACTAGCTATTGAGGGGATGTTACATCTCCATTGCTCAGATTATCTAGGAAGCTTTATTTTATTATTGCTTAACAGTTTCGCTATCAGTAACTTCTACTTTCAATGGTATTGTGTGTACTAATGAATTTTTATCCTGTTTTTGGGTGCAAAAGTAGGAAATGTGTGATCCAATACCAGTGAAAGGTTTCTCCGTTTATAAAATATATTCACTTGCAGTTTTGGATTCATCTGCTATATCATCATATGAAGATTGACTTACTTCGATGTTCTTCAACTTCGTTAGATAGTTTATTCGGCAACTTTTGGTAATCCAGAACCCATGGGGAAGTTGTTGCTAAAGAGATGCCGAATTCAAACATTCATGTCATCTCTATCTTGCAAAATGCATGAAAATTTAATCCATTTACATTCGTTTTTCTCTCTCCAGACTCTAGTGTGTCAGGTGACTGCCTTGACTCACACAAATCCTTTGGCTCTGTTTGGCGCCCTCCTACAGGCCCATGCAATCAGACGCGTTCTCGCTGTGGCCTCTGCTAGCAGTGACTCTGCGCCTTGCGCCATAGATGCTGCTTGTCTGGTGGACACTCTTCGCGGAGACCTAGAAATGGCCGATCTCTCTGCTTTCGCCTTTGGACGATCTTCGAATTTCCATTTGAGTGCACTGCAACAGTATCGAGAGAAACTGAACACAGTGAAGCAATTCGTGATGCAGGAGTCGTTTCCACAGATTTCCGAGATAGTTAGTCAGCTGGGTAAGCGAAAAGGAGCTGCGATCACGTCACTAGCATTCTTGTGTGCCATTTGAAACCTTTTTTTTATCGATTGTGCGCAGGCAACGGTGAACCTGCAATACAGGCTATACCTACTGCGCTGTATGTTTTCCTTCAATGTCTGAAGCCCATGCCACACATCCCCTATGAGGTTTGTCCTTTTCTAGCCCCCAATCAAATTAATGCAGACCCCGTGGAACTTTTTCATGTAGATAATTACCAATTAATGGCGTACCCATTTAAGTGAATGGTTTGAATTCGATTTTGAATGTTTTTGGGATCAAGTTGGCTTAATTTGTACATCTCCCTTCACTCAGATGAGCTGGCGTAAATTCATACTTTAAAGCAATACATACAAACATCACTAAAATTCATGACTTGTCTTCACGGTTTACATTAGCAGTACTAAGAAGTTCGTAAATTGACTGCTTTGTTTCATTTATTTTTAATTCTGCCAGCCTCGCTTTATGAATTCCGCCTTTTGTAAGCTGCATTTTTGATACGGTTTTCCATCTCTTAAAGTCTCTATTGATAAAGTGCAGCATCTACTCAACCATGATTGGCAATGACACCGACACGATCGGTTGCATGGCGTGCGCCATCGCAGGAGCACTTGTTGGTGCGGAGCGAATCGAGAACAGCTCCTCTCTTGGCGATTTGCATGTTCCTGGTACTATTTTTGGCCATGTGGAGGGACTCAAGTCCATCAACGGGTACTGCGACTGGCTCATTCGACGCTTCAAAGGCTCCGGACACAGCAACTGAAAATGCCCCCCTCCTACCATTTGAAACCTCAATCTATAAATATTTGGGACAGGCTACCCGAATCAAACGTGAGCGGCATCCTACCTTAATGTAGTAAAAATGTAATTTTACCATGATCCATGATTCCTATGAAGCACATGACATCTCGCATATTTTAAATCCTGAATAGAGGCCCTAGATAGTGAAGTAGAGCGGAGAATCCTTACTACAAGTGATAAAATAGCTCAAAACTGGTACCAGCTGGACTGAAACGTAAACTTCACAAAGACCATACGACCGAAGAGAAATGTCATGAAGAAAACAAGCTTTAATGAAGAGAACGTTAAATTTGAATGGTAAGGGGTGCAGGGTTATGGAAGTAGGACATTACAAGTACGCACACTGCGAGCAAGGCCATGGTCACGAGATGTTTGACGTCATCTGATGCTCGAGCATTACCGAAAGTTCCCAGAGCGCAAAAGATTGCAATCCAAGCGCACCATTTGCTCTCAAACATAACACTTCCAACGCTTAGAACCATCCCCAAAAAACTCACGAATTCAATCGTAGGGTCGCCGCTAGAGTCTGTGGATGGGGGTGTATACCGATGTATCTTACCGGGTCTGCGAGGGTCTCCGTTTGGGTAGGACGACATCGCCGTCAGGTGACCAGAGCACGAAGTAGTCGAGCGCGATCCAACCAATGGGTGGCAACGTGATTGAATGGTTGTAACTTGTGCACTAATTACATAAACAACGGAGAATAAATGTGGGCTCTGAAGCTGCAGTGCGTGCTGTATTTGGATGTAATCTGGGAAGTACCATTGCCGGGGAAAGGCCGCACTCTTATTAAAGTGGAATGTTTAGGTAGCAACAAGAAATGAGTTTAAAATATAGCTTTAATTCAGGGTGTGGGCTTCTGTTTACGAGAAAAAGTGTTCGTAGTACACCTAAATTGAAACTTTAGTTGGGATGTAATGTCACTGACAGTAGGGAAGAGCTTTGGCAATGATGCATATTGTTACGCTTTCCATGAGGCAGTCGTAGATTCTCAGATAATTTCAGGGGGAAGATTTTTGCTAATATATGACCAGACGTTGCATTTAAATATTTCGTAAAACACACCTAATGTTTCTATATACCTTACCATTTAACAAGTCTATTTAAAATCCTCCAGGGTTAATTCAACCGCAACCGTGTTTGATTAAACTAAGAATTAACGTACGTTTTATAAGGGTCATAGGTAAGTTCTGCCAGTTTTTTTTGCTGTTCTAAGAATGAAAGGCCTTTCTGTACAACGAACACTTTCATTTGGATCTCGCACTAGGTGGCTTCACAAAATCAAGGAGTTTTGGTGAGTTTTACCGCTGAAATATAGATAAATAGTCTAAGTTTTTTCTAAGTGTTGCAATGCATCCAATCCATTTGTGGGACAGGAAATTTACTACCTACCTTAGTTTGGCAGCACTTAATATTTGTTCCTCTGCCAAATTCTTTAAGTCAATCCTCTATGAATTTACGAAGAAAAACGTCAACCAATCAATGTTGGATTAGGTTATGTTACCACATAAGCCTTCTTTGTTAGGGGCCAATTGTCAAATGGCAAGATATTGCCTCGCTCACACTGCTGTCCAGTGTAGCGTAGTGTCGCCATGCGAGGACTACGTCGTATTTGGAACTAACTTTGGTTCATTATATGCATTGGCAATAGACACACTAGTTAATTCCCCTTCTTCTATTGTATCAACCTCCTCGTTTTTTAGCGTTTCATGTGGTTACAGTGTTCACTGTTTACTCTCAAAAAATGACCATATTTGGATTGGGGTTACTGGCTGTGTTCTTGTCATACCTTGGGCAAATATAAGATCGGAAAAAAAAGACCTAAAGAAGATACCATTGCGTATGCTCCAGCCTGCCTTTGAAATGCCATCTGTAATTTTGCCTACTACTTTCATCAAATAGGTTAATTCTCTTCTATCACTAGAGATTAGCAACATTATATATGCTGGTTGTAGTGATGGCTATGTTAATCTAATCGACGCTGTGGATTTCACACTGTTAAATGCTTTCAAATGCCATGACCAACCAATTTATTCGCTCTCTACCGCTGGACCATGTGAAGTAACTTTATGTGAAGCTTTCACGTTTATCTAGTTTCTCAGTTGTTCGGAGGATGGGGTTTCCTGCTTTTGGGATCATCGAGCCTCCCGTGAAACCTGGAAACCTTCCCTTGCTTTTACTCCTGGAGACATACCTGAACTTCAGCGTCCCTGCTTGGGAGGCTGGCTTACTGTGGGTTTTGTTCAGTCTAACGATCCCGATTGGTTTGTTCTTGGTGGCGGTCCGAAACTCTCTTTGTGGAATAAACGAGCTGGTAGGCCCACTGTCATTTTGGAACCAAGGGGTGGGTTGTTTCTGCGAAAAATCTGGAAATGTTTTCCTAAGGCTACTTGTTGTATCATTTCCTTGGCATTTTTTATAGAACAGTCACCACGTTGGTACCCGCTTGTTGGCAAGTTTGTTAATGCTCAAGTCGACCCCAAGATCGTTGCTGGTGGTACCTCTGGCAGTCTTATCGCATGGGATTTTTCTGGTGATCTGCTTTATGAAACGTGTAGCCAGGAGGATCCGTCTCGACGAATGACGTCTATACTCACGGTAATAGAAGTGCCGAGGAAGGAATCTGACTTAGCTGGGCCACTTCTGGTGGGGGGCTTAAGTCCGTCCATCCACCTCGTTTCTCGCATCGGCTATCCATCCAAGCATGTTAAACTAGCTGATGAATGGTAATTCCATATATTCTCCGTTAGCTTTGGTGATTTCTGTCCTTTGGCGGTTTTTCTTAGGAATTTTATCCAAAGCAAACTAAACCCCTTCCACTACCAAGTATATTCTTGATCTGTTTTTATACATTTTAAGGTGAATTTAAATTCTACCATATTTTTTCTTGTTCAGATCTTACTGCTCCTTATTCTCGATTCGCATTTCCTCGAACGAATCTTGGTATACTTTTGTTACAATAAAGATTTTCACAAAAATCACTGTTTTGTTTGAATTGCTTGCATCCCGTTCCCTGTCCAATTTCTAACCGATAATATTTGGATTTTATGATCTACACTGTTAGTGCCTACAGGCGTGCAGCAGTGCTTTTTCTTTTGGTTTTACAGAGCACTCATACGCAGCTGAGGATTTAGGGGATTCTATTACTACTATAACTGTATCCCTTTGTAGAAATTTATCAGCTTGATTATGGTAGCGAATCGTCAGAAGAGAGTAAAAAGGGCCACTGGTGAGGTAGTTGCTGAGACTTCTAAGGCCAAAATTCTCACAAGGCAGGGTAATGAAGGCCCAGAGTTGATCTCAAGGGAACCAGGAAATAGCGCGAGGTGAGTAGTTGGTAACGTCAAACCTATGTACGTTGTTAAATTGAACTCATCCCATTTATCAACGCATGGACGGTTTTCCACCGTAGTCATATCCAGGTCAATGCACCTTAACATTATGGTTTTTGGGTCGCGCATTTCAGCTTAGAAGGGGGACAGGTGAAGTTCGTCAAAAAGAAACGTCTTTCGGAAGAAACTCACCTCACGGCCACTCCACAAGCTCTCACAGAATTCCCTCGCGTGGATGGTGACACTACTGGCAGAAGTCTTGTCAAGACCAAGTCTTTCAGTGGGTACGCTGATTTACCCAGTTTTCAACACTTCTAATTAGTTTACCACCCTTAATGTGGGTCATTTATGCAATGACAATATAGCTACTTAATTTAATAAGCCATACGAAATAGCTGTGTTTGCCAGCGCTAGTCGTGTCGTAGTCGCTAGGTAACGCTCGACTTTGGGTACAATTTTCTCCCCCTTTCCAGAGTGACCAGAACCATAGCCCTCGATTGCGAGTTCGTAGGAGTTGGCTTTGAGGGCAAAGACGACGCTCTCGCACGTGTCTCCGTAGTAAACCAATTTGGTCACGTTATTCTCGATGTGTACGTCCGACCAAAGGAAAGGATTACCGACTATCGTACTGGTGTCTCCGGCATCACACCTCGTCACATGCGCCAAGGCGGACCCGCCAAGAATTTCGATGATGTCCAAGCTCAGGTAGCCGAACTCTGCAAGGGTCGAATTCTCGTCGGCCATGCTATCCACAACGACTTAAGGGTAGGGTCACCTTGACTACATCTTAGCTGGCAATGGCGTTCGATGTTTGATGGGACTTTTCCAATCTAGGTACTCATGCTGTCACACCCGAAGAAGAGTATCCGTGACACCTCTCGATATGGACCCTTCAAAAAGCTATTTAAGGGCCGCTATCCCTCTCTCAAGGCACTCTCCGAACACATACTGGGAGTAACTATACAGCACGGCGCGCATGACTCAGTAGAGGACGCAAGGGCCACAATGCGAATCTACACGATGGTGAAGAAGGTTTGGGAGGCTCAATTGAAGGCGCGGCGAGCGGGGAAACCGGCCAAAGAGATCCAACGCCTCTCCCAACGTCTTCACTTTCTTTCCATCCCTGGGAAAATGACTGAGCCGATGAATCAAAAACTAGACATTACACGGCTAGCCAAGATAGCCTTGGATGTGAAGTCCGAATTCGCAGCAAGTTTACATCTTTCAAAATATAACCATCAAAGTGTTCAAAAGACTAACAAACGACATCTTCCAGACAGGAACCCCCTGTGATGACTACGCACCCAAGAATGTGGTGCGAAGAAAGCCAGCCACCCTGACAGCGTTCGCCAGGGCGCCTGACCAAGTGACGGTGATAAATGGACGAAAGTGCAGTAAACACCGACAGCGTTTCCTCGAAAAACGAAGGCGCATCCGCCAACGAAACTTAGTATTTTCGTCGACAAAGAAGTCGTCACTATTTTCGTAAATACATCATTTATAAAAAAAGCACAAAGTGCACAACTTTTACTACAGTATTAAAAAGTGATGAAAGTACGGTAAATGGAGTATTAATGTATGCACAGAGTTTTGCGAAATGTACAACAATCTACCATCGTCCACGTTTGCTCCAGTCTTTTGGTTTCCAATAGAGACACGCAGGGTCAATTCTCACGCATCGTTTCTCCATACTACGCTTATAGGCATCAATATTCTCTTTACTCAAAAAGATGACGTATTGGCCCTTAACGTAGTAGAGGACGTTCAGGTAGGAAAGGGTGGCAACAACATCGTCGCGTTTCATATTTGTTCGCTCGATTAATTCGCTGAAATAAAATGTAGATGTTTGCTTGAAGTAAGTTGGATTTTGTGCACAATCGGATGTCATACTAGAGAAGCACCTACCTAAGGCTGATGCCGGATTCTTGCCCTGGTTCTGAGGGCTTGATGGATAGTAGGATCTCCATGATAGTCATCGTCCAGTAGGAACGATACGAGAGCAAACCCAAATCACTGAGTGGCTTTTCTGGAGAGCCCAGTTTCCCCTCGATTTTACTCAGAGCATAACCTGTGATAAGTTTAAAGAGATTTACTTATGAATCCCGACCAACGGACATGTAAGGCGCGCTTAGATGTTTATAATTTACAGGAAAAATACCCATGACGAGGGGGGGGGGGGGGTACCGTGCAAAATGTGAGAGATGAGTTAGCTGGTGGATTTCGAAGGCAATTTTAAAAAGGCATTGAAATATCCGGTATACCAATGCATAGGCAAGTATTTAAGATAGAATTCCAATGTTCTGGACAAACAAGTAGTTCATGAGGGGGAATATCTCCAGGTAAATCAAGCAGTGAAGGTGACTCACTGAACTCGATCAGAAGTTTACCATACCCTTTGCGTTGATAAGGTGGAAGAGTCAAGATGCAGGCAACATTGTAGTCCTCAGAGGATTCCTTTTCTTTAGAAAAATATCCAACTAGGTGGTAACCGTAGGCATCGATTTCGCACAGAACATAGAATAAGAAAGGGTCCGTATCATAATAAAGGGTCTTGTGATCAAGGAACAGTTTAGCCAACAGGCAGAGTTGTTGTGCATATGTCTGAATGATAAGTGGGTGGAAGCAGCACATTTACTTTATTTTTCCGGCCGTCAATTTCGATAAAACTGTGAGGAAGTTTCCTATAAATCTCGTTTCCGGGTGGGTGGCGAAATTGACATTTCGTCTAGAGATTCGAAAAAAAGGATCTCTACCTACCAAATGGCGCTTCAAGCGCCCTTCACTCTTGAGATATTTAAGACAAAATTCACATATGTAAATGCAAGGTGCTGAGATTAATTCATGTGGGTAGGGTGAAAAGTACCAAGGTTTAATTTTGTAGCGTCCGATTTGTATCCACTCGATGTTTCGTATTCGCGTGACAGTATCTTGCTCGTGATGGCTGGATATCATGCTTCCTGTTTGACGAGGTACTACTTGCAACTTCGGTCTATCAGATTCATCCTTAGATTCCACAGTTTGTGCAGCAGTCTCATCATCGGAATGACGTTTTCTTTTAAGTTGTGAGGCCCCAATAGAGTTGATACGAGACCTAGGGGACAGGTCCTGTAACTATGATAAGTAAAAACTCCATACATGTTCATTCTCAGTGCAATCTTCAGCCGCTACAGAAAACCTCACATTTGGATCTGCTGTAGATAGGACAGAAAGTGATGCCGATGAACTATCACGAGGAAGCTTCTTGGAAGGATATTCCAACTTATCAAAATCGATCCTGCTTTGCTCCACCCACTCATCCAAGCGCTTGTTAACTGGAAAATTGCGTTGAGGCTGATATATGGCATACTTACAATCGTCAAAGTGAACATAATAAATGAATCCACTTTCCGTTTTTTTTATGCTTAAAATCTCCGCATAGTCTGCAAAAAGTTATTGAATTATGTGTGTTACGGTATAATTTTGACTGCCTCAGTCTGACTGGAACACGACAGCCCTCCAAGTTCTTGCAACAATTACCAACGACCATCTTAACACGACCACCCCCACTAAACGCATACTAATTTGGAATGCCCGCATATCTCCTGAACCATACAAACTAAGACAAGCAAACCATAAATGTTTGTGTGTTAATTAGCAAAAGTTACAAAGTCTTGGCAAAAAGAAACAGCGTAATCAATATTTGCAGATCTAAAAATGGAGAAAGATGGCCCAATTGGCCGACCACATTTTTTTGCCAATGCTATTACGCAGCTTCCTGAGACTTCCCTGAAGAGGAAAGAAGACATAATACCCAGGTAGAATATGTTTATTCAGCACATAGAAGGTGTTTGGGCTACTGGCATGGCCCAAAGGCCAGCCCACCCGGCAAGGCACGAGAAGTTAAATTTAAAAGTTCAAAAGAGGCGCTTCATTAATGCCGAGAAATAAACCACCAGCGTTTTACAGTTAAGATATACCATAGGGCAATGAATCACCTAATTAAAAGGTGAATATTGAAAAATTGTCAGTTGTAAGTAGAATTTACAAGGCTTGTGAAAGTGGTTAAGTAAGTGACTACAAAATACTTAGTTCCCGTCATCACATTTCCAGCTAATTACTCCTACTACAGAAATCGAAGGCAATTCCTGAAGATGTGTGAAGCATGTCGTGGTTGTATGTTAAATAATTATAGGATTTTGATATCTCTGTTGAGTCGTTGAAAGTCGTAAAGTTATGGCAGAATGTATATTGTAATGCGATATCATCTCACTTACACCCAAGTTCGATTGACTTCGCGTTCGAATTGTGGGGGATTTTCTTATTGCACTGACTATGTTGACCAAAAGTAGCCCTGGGTTAAAGCCTAAACAAGTTAGTCTCTGCAATCCTTTGGTTTTTTGCTTAACTTCCGGTCTTTTTAAAGGGGCGCCTGATCCGACATCGCACCTCTGTCGGGCGGCCTTGGTCTTCAGGCTATGTCAGTAGGCCCAAGCTCTTCCTTTGGCCGACAGTGTGTATTCTGTGCAAATATTACAACTTCCTTCGTCTTCACGGAAGTCTTGGTGCGCTACAGCATAGCTGGCGTGCAGGAGAGCTGAGGCTAGTGGTATAACCCAGTCGCCATGCTACCGAGTGGAGGTACAATCTGTCCACGTAACAAAGCGCAGAGTTAAGAAACTCTCATAGCACCGCAGAAATATTCCTCATTACCTTGTTATAAAGCGAATAACATCAAGGTTAATTTAGGTTTGCATATTTGATAAATCGAATAATTTTTAAGTTACCCAGTTAAATAGCGTGTCGACCTTCAACGTGCTGATTATATTTGGTTCGAATGTCCAAATGTTTGCTGCCTTTCTATTCAAATTAAATGCATGCTAACGTTCGAGTCCTCATTGAACATTATACAATACGTTTGATTTTAGGTAGGATCATCTTTAAAGTGCAGAGTTGCTGGCGAACTGCTCATATGAATGCAACGGGAATCATATCCACAAGATGCGACATGTCAGTGTGATGATGAAGCACTTGATAACTGCATGTGCACCTCGAATCCCGTATTTCATGCCAAACTTGGCTCTTTGACCTTTCGGTCATACAGGAAGGTAACCAGACCATCTTCAATTCCATAATAAACCTATTTTTCACTGGAAAGCCATATCACGGCTTCACATAGCATCCTCTTTGTCAAATGTAAAATATAAATAATTTCTGTGATGTGGTGCATGGGGATTTCTTTGCATTTAAAGCAAGTCACACTATTACAAAGGAAAATTTATTTTTAGCTTGATAAAGAGTCGAAAGTCGATGAGCGTGAATACATTCCAGTGACTGTAAATACAGAATTCCTGCAACGCTCCTTTTTTTCTTGAGCATCCTTCTCAGTGCTTTATTTGATGATTTCCCTTCGTCACTCATCACAAATGAGTCGGGACTTCAAAAAAACATCCGTCAACCAGAAACAGTGATTATTGAATTTTCTTGCACGTACGAAATTAAAAATTAAAACAATTTTCCTGAACATGTTTCGGACGATTATATGCAATCCACTTAATAATAAACTCAAGGCTTCATTTTTTCGAGTGTGGATGTCAGTCAGTTTTCTAGGCGATCCAGTATTGCCAATTTACGCATTTTGCGATCATGGGATGATTGTCGTACAAAAAAACCCGCCTCACTTGTTTCTTCAAGACGATAAAGAGATGTAAACCTTTGCCTAGTAGGCTATCCTCCTAGCGTCCCGAGTCTTTGTTAAAGTCGTAAGGGGTCAGTGGCGCAGTAGAGGATGTAGAGTTGACGTAGGGAATAGCTGGGGCGTAAGTACAATCTGTGAGGACTTAAGTGTCGGCGTAGCCGAACGCCGGGTTAATCAACCTATAAAAAGGTTACAATCCTTAGGGTGAATCAAATTGTCCAAATTTAGTGAAAAACTCTTGTTATTGACTCGACCAAATATTAAATGCTTGAAAGGTATAGCTTAGGAGCCCACATTACATTAATTGTGCAACTTAAGTATACGGATTCTTTTCATTTTGTGTATTTTTATTAATCATACAGACTGCCGAATTATGGGCTTAGTGATTTTCTAATTTTATCGTTTTATTTCCGTCTAGTAGACATGATGTATCCCTTATATTAATCTTCGTAAAATTAGGAGATGTTTATAATTTCCTGAAGTTGTAGGTGAGTTTTGCTTCCTTAGTTTAATCAACTATCAAACAATTTACGTGCACTGCAAATGCATAAAAAGTCAACTAATAACAACGAATACTAAAAATTTTACAAGTTTACTGCCGATATCCTAGTAAAACAATTTCAAAACGCAGCCATAATGTAGAGGAGGGGTGGCCATTTTCTCCGGAAAGGTTTATTATGCGCATATAGAGTAAAAGAAGTAGAAGACACTGTTTTGATTGTTTCAGAATGGCATTTATTTGAAGATATTTAATACACGACTTGTCAATTATAAGTGCGCATAAACAAGTAAGAATCGGTTGATCTGTACGGAAATGAATTAAGAACGTTTGTCATATACCATATTAGTACACGTAGATACACATTCCTCCATTGTAAAAAAGTTGTTGGCATTGCCCATGCATCCACCATAGATAAATTCTGCACATTTGCCTGCTTCACTGTCGAAAAAGAAACGTTTAATTCTACCGCGGCAGGGTCCAGTACTTTTAGGCAAAAAACAAACGGATGAGAAAGAATTTGCCATTGCATTAGCTAAAAAAAGAAAAAAAAAAACAAAGATTAATACCTAATGAAAGGAAATTAGCAAAAGGAAGAATAAAGGCAACGTACCACCACATCTGGCTTCACAGTCCTCCTTCGATTCGAAGTTGTTGGCATTTCCCCTGCATCCACCGTACACGAATTCAACGCACTGCTCTTTTGCTACGTCATAGTACCAGCGTTTCCACATTGCACGACAGGGCCCCACTTCCTGAGGCAACTTGCACACTGGATCGAGAGCATCGCTGCTGGTGGCTGGTCTGGCCATAGGAATGTTGGCTGATGAGGAAGGAGAGCAAGGAGGAATGATAGCACGCAGATGCTAACCGCAAACTGGAGCAGGGTGTGTAGATGACTAACCAAGACAACGCTGTTCGCAAGCCTCCCTCGTGTCGAAGTTGTTCGCGTTGCCACCACATCCACCGTAGACGAATGGAATGCACTGGCTCGAGTTGGCATCAAATGCCCATCGCCGAATGAGTGCATAACAATTGCCTCGGTCCTGTGGCAGGTGGCACACCAGCGTGTCAATACTGCCACTCTTGGAAGACGCACCCAATTCCGGTTGGTTCACTGTTGAATGGAAAACCAAAACAGTCACCCTACAACATCCACGAATTGCCTCTTCATTTTCACGTTATTTATATGATCTCGGGCTTCTGGATTATGTCCCACCAATTGCCATCCCCTCCAAACCGACTGGAAATCCAGTCACAAATGCCAAGTGGAAACCGAAAGCACCCGGCGCAGCTAATGCAAAGTCGAATGACTGAAGTGTGGTAAAATGGTGACAATGGACTAAGTGGGATTGGTCGTGAAAACAAATGTATGTGGAATTCCGAAGCCTATTTGATCTGACAAGAGAAGGCATCCTGATGTTCTTTTCTCTCGACAATCCTTATCCACTAAATACGTGGCATTTTCACCATGTGCCCATCTTTCCAATGGGACTAAAATTACTTCGTTACAATTCCACCAACCACAGCAACATCAGAACTGATTTTCCTGATTCCTTAATCGTGTGTTCCATAAACTGGAATTTATGTGATTCCATTTTTCCATCCAATCCGAATGCTTCACATTCTTCTCTACTATCACAGTTACAGCATTCATTTTTGAAGAATTCAAAAATTGCATGCGTTGACATCCGGTTTAACTTATTTGTTCGGTAAACTTTTGCTAAATGCTGCAGGCTGTCAAGTAACAAGTTTGGCATGCCTTTTCAAGAATATGCTCACGATTCACAGGCCATGCTGTTTCTACGTAGAGTGTATTTCCGCCTGCTGTGACCGCAATGCAAAATGGCTTTGTTAGAGACAGAGCATCGCATTATTTGGATCAATGTTAATGGAGTTGTTCATCAAACATGTTCTTTTTCACGCAACATATCCCAAGCTTGCTATGGGTGACAATAAATTCAAACTACAGACGAAAGAGGCAGTAGGATGAGTTGCGATGCTTTCTATTTAAATGTGCAAATTTTGTGGCGTTGTGTCAAGGTGACAATGGTAGTAGTGGTTCATCGTCCCAAATTCCATTGCCGAAGGAAAGGTCGATTTAACATAGTAATATGACGAGTTCATTATCTTGGCATCTGACGCCACATCTATAACAGATAATCGACGAAAACCGCATCACATATATAACTACTTTGTTAAAGAGCAGCGATATTCCGAGTGACGTCTTTTGGACTCGCCTACCATGTCTTCACAAGGGACGACGTGGGTTTTGCAGATGCGAATGCTTAACGGGAAATTGAGGAGAATTGTGTAGACGAAAAACTTGCCTCCGCACTTGGCTTCACAGGCCTCCTTCGACTCGAAGTTATTAGCATTCCCTCGACAACCACCGTAGACGAATTGCGTACATTTAGCCTTGGAGGTATCAAAGGCCCATCGACGTTGCGACGCACGACAGGGTCCGGCGTCTTGGGGCAACTTACAGACGTCATCAATGGCATCCAGTGTGGTGGAGAGCAGGGGGGTGGAGAGGCTAGCTGCAGTAGGAGATGGTGAGTAAAGGGAAATAATGTCGCCGCATTAGCAACGACTTTATGCTAGATGAGTGCATGAAAATGACGACATGTAGATAACCGACCGAGACATCGGCGTTCACAGGCATCCTTCGTCTCAAAGTTGTTTGCGTTGCCATTGCAACCACCGTAGATAAACTGTACACACTGTCCTAATTCAGGATCATATCCCCATTTTTGTTGGTAGGCCTCGCAATTACCTCTTTCTCGAGGTAGATAGCACACAGCGTTTTCGCCAACGCCACCGACAGGGCTGACAACGGTTTCCGATTTAACCCCACTTAAAACTACACAAAAATGAAAGTGAAGTTAGGGTCATTTAATTTGTCTTGTTGGTAATTGGTCTACTGCAGAATGGGTAACTATTTACTTGCACGTAGCAATCGAAAGAAAGAGAGGCGGATAATTGTGGATCATGAAATCAACTACCTCGGGTCAAAAGTAAAAGTTGAAATGCTGAGTCTTCCGCAATATTTAGTTGTGTGAGTCAAGTCGAGAAGAAGGGGGTAGGATTACCTCCACACTTGGCTGCGCAGGCCTCCTTCGACTGGAAGTTGTTGGCATTTCCTTTGCATCCACCATAGATGAATTCCACGCACGTGCCCGTGGAGACATCAAAGCTCCATCGCCGGTAAAATCCTTTGCAGGGACCCGTATCTTGAGGCAACTCGCAGATGGCGTCGAGGGTGTCGAACTTGACGGAAGTCGAAGGAATGGGTATGCTGACTGTAGAGATGGATGGGGAAGGGGGAAGACGACGTTCAACAGTAATACAGGGCAAATCATGCTAGAAATGCAATCAGTGTCCTACCGAAGCAGCGCATTTCACTGGCCTTTTTTTTATTCAAAATTATTATCCTTGCCACTGCATCCACTGTAGACGGATTAACGCATTCGCCAGTAGGGGAGTCGAACCCCCATCTTTGGGGGCAGGCTCCGCACTTTCCTCTTTTGAGTGTCAACTAACACACCGGGGCATCATCATCACCATTGCTAGGAGGACTAATGCGACTTTTCGCATTAAGACCTCTTGAATTTGGGTCGTGTCAGAATACAATGACAGCAGCCTACTTTAAGCAATAGACAGTGAACTAGGTGTTAAATCCTGCTGCAGATAATATCTAGGTCCCTGATCAAAGCCACTTTCGTGTGTACCAACGTGCAAAGACATCATATTAGCTATTTGATGACCAGGCTGCCTTCTTAATTTCGTGTGTCTATAGAATTTCAAACCCGTTTTTTGTTTCTGCAAGAAAATGCCTTATTAAAAAAGAAATCGCACAATTTTTTATCAATCTCTTTGAGTACGCATAATCCTCCGCACACTTTCATACATCCACATGTTTAATTGGGTAAAGCCTAGAAAATATGCACGTTTGTTTAAGCACATCAGTCTATAGGTGGACTCAATTGGTAGGCTATACTTTAGTGTGCTTCATAACATTGGTCTCTAAATCTACCCCCTTTTCTATCACAAAGCATCCGTTGAAGTGGATGGGCTTGCTGCAAACTTGGAGGAGGAGGAGGAGGAGGAG